TTTTAATCCATAAAGGGCAGAAATAACCTAACATTCCTAAATCACAATGAATATGGATTGACACCTGACATATGACATATTGACACCTTGACATATGGATTGACACCTGTCCTCAGAGCCCCTGATGCACACGGACACAGAGTAGAATAGGGACTGGTCCCCCTACATAGGGTCAATTGGCAGATATGGATTGACACCTATCCTAAGGATCCCTGATACACACTGACAAAGAGCAGAATAGAGACTGTTCCCCCTACATAGGGTCACTTGGCAGGTGTGGATTGACACCTGTCCTCAGAGACCATGATACACACTGACACAGAGCAGAATAGAGACTGTTCCCCCTACATAGGGTCACTTGGCAGATATGGATTGACACCTGTCCTCAAGAGACCCCTGATACACACTGACACAGAGCAGAATAGAGACTGTTCCCCCTACATAGGGTCACTTGGCAGATATGGATTGACACCTGTCCTAAGGATCCCTGATACACACGACACAGAGCAGAATAGGGACTGTTCCCCCTACATAGGGTCACTTGGCAGATATGGATTGACACCCATCCTAAGGATCCCTGATACACACTGACACAGAGCAGAATAGGGACTGTTCCCCCTACATAGGGTCACTTGGCAGATATGGATTGACACCTGTCCCTCAGAGACCATGATACACACTGACAGAGAGCAGAATAGAGACTGTTCCATGTGACCCCATGTATGAGTGTGAGTATGTGTACGCAAAGTGCACCAGTGTGTGTATGTGTGTGTGTCAGGATGTTTGTGAGTGTGTGTGTGTGTGCGTATATATATATATATATATATATATATATATATATATATATGACAGTGTGCTTCTGTGTCTGTTTTTATGCACACATCTCTGTATGTGCCTCTGTGTGTCAGGGTGTGTGTTTTTATGTCAGTGGGAGTATATGTTGCTAAGATAGTTGTAGGAACCACCTGCGGCTTTAAAACTTGAGTGCCTGGATATTTCTTTTTTGACTTAGTGTGTGTATATGTGTCATGGTGTGGGCATGTATTAATGTTTGTGTGTGTCAGGGTGCATGTGTGTATGTCGGTGTGTATCTATGTGTGTATGTGTGTGTATGTGTCAGTGTGTATCTATATGTGTGTATATGTCGGTGTCTATATGAATTTGAGTGTATGTGTCGGTGCATTTATATGCATCTCTATGTTAATGTGCATGAATATCTGTGTAAATATGCATGTATGTTGTAGTGTGCATGCATCTAATCAGTCAAACACCAGCACAACATACAAGCACACTCCTGCAATCTAACACAAATATTGCATACAAACACACCCCTGCATTCAATCTCAAAAATATATATATATAAACACAGCCCTTCACAGAAACACAAATACCTCACACAAATGTACATCCACATTTAAAAGTGAACATTACATTCAGACACACCCCTGCAATCAAACACAAATATTACATACAAACACACTCCTGTATTAAAACACAATAAATGTATACAAGAATCCCTTCAAACACCAAGGCAGGGAGCTTGCAATGCAAATGCGTGCTGTGACACAAGGGCAGTGGGCTCTATATGCAATAACCTTTGCAATGATGCAAAGTTTTAATGATGCCTACAGTCAAAATTAAGAACCATAAATAATACATGATGGTTTGGATAGAATGCAATGTACTCCATTGTGGTAATGTTAGATATTGAAATTAAAATTTTGTTTAATTCTGATTATACCCCTGAACACTTCAAATGTTTATTTGCTCCATGTTGCTGAACTGATGTGGAAAGGTTTCTGATAATGATGGAAGTTACATACAAATTATGGATGCCTGTAGACTAATTCTGGCATTCTGTACCTAGTCAATTAAGAAGAGACAATCAAGTCATATGGGCATACAAAACAATACCCCTTGAAAATATACCTGCATAGGTTAAAAAAAAAAGTAAAAGAAAAGTATAAAAAACATTAAACATACCGTACCTCATCACTCAATAAAAAGGTGTGTACAGAGAGCACATTACAATAGCAATATTTGACTATAAATTCTCAGATGCCCTTATAGTGTGACCTTAAGTCATGAAATTAAAGGAGTGGGGGTGACATTTCCTCTTATTACTCCTTCATATTGTGACCATTACAGTATAACAGCATGTTGTGTAATGTAATAACTGTTTTGCTGTTATAGTTGTCTCTTGGAAGCGTTGCACTCTGGATGAACTCCATCCTTGGGTTTTCTACTGTAATTGCTTTGTGGCCCATTGGAATTCTGTTTCGTGAAGCCAGAACACAGCTGGCTGAGCAGAACATTGGGACAAAGTTTGCAGTTTTCCAGGTAAGACTTACAATTTCACTACTTACTTTTCTCACAATACGATCTTGGAGCATACAAGGATTTATTCACTAAAATGAGACTTCAAAGTGAATTCCACATTTAAGGCCATAATAGTCAAACTGGAATTATAACTGACTTGGAGAATTTTTCAGTTGGCTATTTTGTCATTAAATTTGTAATTCACTCTGAATTCTCACTTTAGTGAATAAGCCTGAATAAGACAGTGTGAACCAAATTTAGATCACATTGTGAATTTTATATAGGAACATTTTCTGCAATACCCATAATTGGTGTCAATGAAAAAAAAGAGATGATTTTCAAACTTTGCTATTATGGCCTTTATTTTTCAGTTTGGTTGTCAACACACCTCAATGTATTGTTTTGTTAGTTGGGGTAGTACAATTGTTTGGTAAAGATACAGTTGGTCTTCTCAACAACAAAAACAGGGCACAGGAGATATCTTTATAAACCTTGGCAGATTGGTGGGTACCAAGTATCTCTTTAACAACAGACAGTCTTGCAATCTGCAACTATTTATCATAATGTAGATTCAGCTGCAATATATATATATATATATATGTGTGTGTGTGTGTGTGTATATATATATATATAGTGCTTCTTTAAATTTGTTACTGAGAATATGCAAACATTCTATTCATGACAACAGACAAAAATGCAATATATATCTTTTCTAAAAAGAATTACATTTTGTAATGAGTTTTGTAGCAAATAAAGCAATGAATAGTTAGACAAAGAGATATTTTGTGTAGTTAAAAAAATATACTTCTACATTTATAGCCTTGTTTAGTAGTAACTTAGGGTATACATATTACCACAACTGTATATCATTAAAGGGATACTATAGCTCCAGGACTACAAAGCTGTGTTCCTGCCACTATAGCTCCCCCTTTTTCCCCCTCCCTCACACCCCTCCTCCCCGCCCAGGTAAATAAAGGGTTAAAACTATTTTATTTACTTACCTTTCCCCAGCACCAATGTCTCTAAGCGCTGGGTCGATACTCCACCCCCTCTGACGGTCTATGACATGCGCGTGCTAATGTGCATGAGCAGAAAATGCACATTAGACCTCTTCATAGGAAAGCATTGAATCAATTCTTTCCTATGGGGAAAAAAATCTGATGCTGGAGGTACTCATGCTGCTGGAGTACCTCCAGCATCAGATTTTTTTCCCCATAGGAAAGAATTGATTCAATGCTTTCCTATGAAGAGGTCTAATGTGCACTTGACAGGCTCAGAAAAGTCAAAAATAGTGAGATATCTTGCAGAGGGATGCAGCACTCTTAAAATTGCAAAGCTTCTGAAGCATGATCATCGAACAATCAAGCGTTTCATTCAAAATAGTCAACAGGGTCGCAAGAAGCGTGTGGAAAAACCAAGGCGCAAAATAACTGCCCATGAACTGAGAAAAGTCAAGCGTGCAGCTGCCACGATGCCACTTGCCACCAGTTTGGCCATATTTCAGAGCTGCAACATCACTGAGTGCCCAAAAGCACAAGGTGTGCAATACTCAGAGACATGGCCAAGGTAAGAAAGGCTGAAAGACGACCACCACTGAACAAGACACACAAGCTGAAACGTCAAGACTGGGCCAAGAAATATTTCAAGACTGATTTTCTAAGGTTTTATGGACTGATGAAATGAGAGTGAGTCTTGATGGGCCAGATGGATGGGCCCGTGGCTGGATTGGTAAAGGGCAGAGAGCTCCAGTCCGACTCAGACGCCAGCAAGGTGGAGGTGGAGTACCGGTTTGGGCTGGTATCATCAAAGATGAGCTTGTGGGGCCTTTTCGGGTTGAGGATGGAGTCAAGCTCAACTCCCAGTCCTACTGCCAGTTCCTGGAAGACACCTTCTTCAAGCAGTGGTACAGGAAGAAGTCTGCATCCTTCAAGAAAAACATGATTTTCATGCAGGACAATGCTCCATCACACGCGTCCAAGTACTCCACAGCGTGGCTGGCAAGAAAGGGTATAAAAGAAGAAAATCTAATGACATGGCCTCCTTGTTCACCTGATCTGAACCCCATTGAGAACCTGTGGTCCATCATCAAATGTGAGATTTACAAGGAGGGAAAACAGTACACCTCTCTGAACAGTGTCTGGGAGGCTGTGGTTGCTGCTGCACGCAATGTTGATGGTGAACAGATCAAAACACTGACAGAATCCATGGATGGCAGGCTTTTGAGTGTCCTTGCAAAGAAAGGTGGCTATATTGGTCACTGATTTGTTTTTGTTTTGTTTTTGAATGTCAGAAATGTATATTTGTGAATGTTGAGATGTTATATTGGTTTCACTGGTAATAATAAATAATTGAAATGGGTATATATTTGTTTTTTGTTAAGTTGCCTAATAATTATGCACAGTAATAGTCACCTGCACACACAGATATCCCCTAACATAGCTATAACTAAAAACAAACTAAAAACTACTTCCAAAAATATTCAGCTTTGATATTAATGAGTTTTTGGGTTCATTGAGAACATGGTTGTTGTTCAATAATAAAATTAATCCTCAAAAATACAACTTGCCTAATAATTCTGCACTCCCTGTAGAAACTGACACTTTTCTAAATAATCCTTGTTACACCCCCAGCTGTCAGTTAGACAGCCAGTCATGTTACTTCCTGATTGCTTAGCTCAGTGGAGCTAAACTCAATAGACAGGCAATTGGTCAGAGCACCTGCCTAGCAAAGACTGTGAAGTCTGTAATTGGGCAGCCATAGAAAGTCTGGGCTGGAAAGAAGGGGAGGACTTGCAAAGGCTTTACATAAAAAAGCTGCAGCTTTTGCAATCTGTTTTAGATACAACTCCAATGAAAAGATTCATAATTAAATGCATGCATGTTTTCATTGAGAGTAAATACATTGATTGTATTTATTTATTTATTTATTTATTTCTGCAGTGGAGTGCAGTGTGCCTTTAAGGCACAAGAACCAGACAGTGTGGTTACTGTTAAAAATAACTGAGATAAAAGATAGCAGAGAACATCATCATGGAAAATACAGTTACCACAACAAATCATGTAATCTAGCTGATAAGTACCCAGAAAAAGATAAGCATCAAGTATAAGGGTAGAACATGCAAGAAGGAGAACTTCTAATCCACTAGGTTACGCAAAAAGTCAACACGTAGCAGAATTATAAAGGCCAAACTCCAAGCCAAGGAGGGTTGGCTTCCAGTGCAAGCATTATATTAGGGGTGGCCAAAATGTAGATCCCTGGCTATTGTAGAACTACAAACCCCATAATGCTTTGCTAGGTTTAAGGACACCAATTACAGAAAACAGGGCAACCTTTGTTGTAATGAAAACAACAAGAAATGCAACATATACTTGAAAATGCATTGTTTTTTATATTTATGGATGAACAGAAAATATGTGTTTTCCTTAAACCAGGTACTTCTTGTTTCCCCAAGTATCAAGGTTTGTAACAATCCCATGTGTTTGAGATTCAATACTTTATTTAATGATTTTGAAAACATTATATTGTTTTAGATAGTATTTCAACATAGAACCACACAGAAATAAGCCTTGTGCTCACATTTACACTAATTTTGGCCAGCAACAACAGCTATTGTAAGCATCATCCAAAATATTTACTATGAACTATTTTTTTTTTTTTAGAGATATCATCATATTAATTGTTATTTCATTTTTTAGATTCTCCTCATCTTGACTACTCTGCAGAGCTCAATCTTCAACATCCTGGCTAGTGTTGGACAGCTGCCTTGTGTGCCACCATATATGTATAAAGCCAGATCTCAGAGTGAGTCTAATGTTCTTTGTAACACAGCTTACAAGCTATATGTACATCCTAGGTACACAAAGTTAGGGTTCTAAAATGTACAAGTATTGCTGGCACTATAGACCAGTAAGAGAGACCACATATCAAGCAAGTTTCATTACTTAATTCCTCTTATTTCAGATTACACAATCATGTAAGCTCGTTTGAGCAGGGCCCTCATCTCCTTATTGTTCCTGTGTCACTGTGTAGTTGTCTAATTTATTGTAACTTTCCCCATTTCATAATATTGTAAAGCGCTGCGGAATTAGTTGGCGCTATATAAATACCAATAATAATAATAATAATAATAATAAAAATGAAATACATAAGATTATGATATGGATAGATAGTTAGACATGATGGCTGCAGACAGAATTTCCTGCAAAATGACAAAATAAATAACCCACCAGGACCAATAATGGGAATTGATGGGAGGACTGATAACACAGAGCATGTAAACATGCTTCTTAATGCTCTACTATATCCTCTGGATTAAGGGATTCTTTTATAAATGCTGAGTTCCACGCCCCCTCAGCCCCATAATATCATGAAGGGGCACTAGGCTTTTCTTGGAACTACTATACTGGTATTGTTTTAAAATATATTATTTTATTTAATGTATGTAAGAGAAGATATGCCCACGCCCATACCTACTTGGGACTATGGACATTATTTTAATCCATGGATACAATGGTGGATTGGTTATTTCCCTGACATATTACAGGTGGATATGGACAATATTATGGAAGGACATTTTAGCAGTATTTGTATATAATGGAT